TTCCTTCCTTCCTTCCTTCCTTCCTTCCTTCCTTCCTTCCTTCCTTCCTTCCTTCTTTCCTTCCTTCCTAACTGGTACTGTAGTTTGTGTCCTCTAGAGGGCATACTATACTTTCTAACTGGAAATTCTTCATAATCATTCACATTGGTTTAATACTTTTTTGCTTGCTAATATCACTCTTCTTGCAGTTATTGGATATTCATTCACAAAATGGCATATGCATACCTCATATGCATATTACCTGTTTCATCCTATGTCTGGAAGATTTCTTAAGGCAGTTTTGTATAATTCTGACTTGGTTGCTTCTGTGTCAGGTGAAAGAAAGAGAGGACTTTGTCACTTCAAACTTGATACTAAAAAATTGGATCTTTTGTGTATTGAACTATATCCCTCCACTCCTCTCATCTGTCAAAATATCATGACTTAAATTTAGTCGTCTCATCCATGGAATGATGAGAGTTGTAGACCAGAGCTAGGAAAGACTGCCATTAACCACACAATTCAAGTCTCATAAATAACAAACCGTATGTTATGAAAACAGTTGCTAAACTTTCCATTTCCATGACTGCCATATGGAATCTTGTTTGTGTAACAACAGTGACCACACCCACCCACCCTGAAAAAATTCCTAATTGGCATTTTTCTATGTTGCCTTATAGCCTGAGTTTGTACATAGGTTTAAACCAAATATATCATCTAGATCAGGGCTGTCAAATTCGTGGCCCGTGGGCTGGATGTGTCATGCGCTGGCCACGCCCATCCCTGGTTTAGTAAAGGGGGGGGGGAAGTCACGATACGGCACGTGACGGTGCCCTGACGATGCAAGATTGACACCCCTGATCTAAATCCAAGGGATCATGACCAACCAAACCTATGGTTTAACAAAATACTAGATACAGTGTTCTTTAGTAGCTATCAAGAAATATTATTTGCTGACATCAGAAAAAATAAATACAGTATCAGATCCTTCAAATATCTCTAATTTTGACTTGGGTAATGTTTGGACAGGCTATAACTATGGTGGAGAGTAAGATGGGTTTGAAGGCCCCTTGTATGGGAGGCGGAAACTAGCAAAGAGGTGACTAGTTATCTCATTGGTCCACCAGTTTCACTAAGGGCAAGGGATAATGGGAGTTGCAGTCCAAAATCTCTAGAGGACATCTGATTGTCTACATCTGTCTCCCCACTTCCTTCTCCTATGAGATGCATATAAATTCACGGTCACTGCTTGCTTAGCCTATTAGATGATAGTAACTATCGATTCACAGCAATCCTTTCAGGAA